TCTCTTACTTTCCCTCTCTCTTTCTCTCTCCTTTCTCTCTCTCTCTTCTCTTTCTCCCTCCCTCTCTTTCTCTCTCTCTCTCCCCCCCCTTTCTCTCTCTCAATTAAAACATCTATACCTCAGGATAAGAGTTGCCCTCATGGTAGTAAATTACTTTGGATCTACTTTAGTAACGTTCCTTCCTGTGTTTGTGGGCCTTTTCCCAGGCGCCGCTTCCTCTACATTGTTAACCTGGATGCGCCCGCTGATGGTCACCGCAAGATTTCCCGTCAGAGCAAGTGGGACATTGGGGCCGTGCAGTGGAATCCCCACGAGAGCCACGCACACTACTTTGCTGCATCGGTAAGTTTGGGGAGGGGGGAGGTGTTTCCTCCCAGGTGGATTCCAGCAGCGCAGCTTCTGCACTTAGAGTAGCTACTGGGATGACGCTCCCAGTTTTGGCCACCACACTATAAAAAAGATGTTGAGACTCTAGAAAAGGTGCAGAGAAGAGCAACCAGGATGATGAGGGGACTGGATGCTAAAACGTTTTGAACGGTTGCAGGAACTGGGCAATGTAGTCTAGTGAAGAGAAGGACCAGGGGAGACAGGATAGCGGTCTTCCAATATTTGAGGGGCTGCCACAGAGAGGTGGAAAGGGTCAAGCTGTTTTCCAAGGCACCCGAAGGCCAGACAAGGAATAATGGACATTGATCAAGGAGAGATTCAACCTGGAAATAAGGAGGAATTTTCTGACCGTGAGAACAATCAACCCATGGAACAGAAGTTGCCTTCAGAAATTGTGGGAGCTTCATCACTTGAGACTTTCAAGAAGATATTGGACTCCCATCTGGCAGAAATGGTGCAGGGCCTCCTGCTTGGGAGGGGGGTTGGACTAGATGACCTACAAGGTCCCTTCAAACTCTGTTAATCTGTACCTATATGTGCTCCTGCTTCCAAACACATTAGGGCCCAAGGATATGACTAAGAACAATGTAAAACATCTGAAATACCCAAAATCACATTCTCTTGTTCTGCATTTATTCTGCAGAAGCTATCACATGGATATCTCATCCAAGTTTTGGACATTTACTTATTTGTATCCCACCTTTATTGTTTTTACAAATAACTGAAACCAGCAAACATATGCCAACACGTTTTCCTCCTCTTATTTGGCCCCACAACAGCAATCCTGTGAGGTGCGCTGGGCTGAGTGAATGACTGGCTCAAAGTCACCCATCTGGCTTTCATGCCTGGTAGGACTAGAACTCGCATTCTCCCATTTTCTAGCCTGGTGCTTTAACCACCAGACAAAACTGGCTGATATAATCAGAAGGAGCCAGGTAGCACCTATTTTGATCAATATGACTTATGAAAAATATAAGCTTTTGTAAGCTCATAAAAGCTTATGCCTTCTAACAAAATTTTCGGTCAGAAAAATTGTTCCAGACTGATTGTTTTTAAATCATAGATTCACTAACCTGCTCGTACAATATTTACAATTCTTGGATATGTGAAACTTATGATACTTAATCTGTAGAAAGGTTCTTCCCTTAATATCTTAATAGATACAATGTTTAATTTTAATTTAATCAAAATTATTAATTTAAACTTGAATTGATCACTATAATTTAATTAAAATAAAATTGTATTGGTGTGGTGGTGAAGGAGCTGGGCTAGAAATGAAGGTTTGGGGAATTCTAGATCTTTCTTAGACATGAAAATCTGGGTGACTTTGGGGCAGTCCCTCTCTCTCAGCCCAACCCACCTCACAGGGTTGTTGTTGTTGAGCAAATAGGCTGGAGTATTAGCTATATTCAACGTCTTGAATTATATATAAAAAGATGGGATAAAAATTGTGGACAACAGTTGCTGCTTGTTTTGTTGTTCCTTACATTTTTTTATACCTTATACCTTTATACCTTTACTTTGCTAACAGATTTTAGAATAATTTGTATCCTAAGAAACAAAAAAATAATAAACTCTTTAGCCATTACAAATTTGAAAAAGATTATGTGAATTGGAGATCAGCTGTACAACAACTAAATTGTGCTTTGTTTGGCTGCTTCTGAGCATTTAATATGGAAGATAGAAAGATGTCTCCCCTTTAGAGAACTCTTTTGAAACCCTCAGTACGTGAGTGTGAGGAAATTTTCTAGCCCAAATATTGGGGAACATATTTATGTTGGGGGATAGGATTTCCCTCCTCATTTTAAAAGCTAAAGGAATGCTCCCATTCTCGAATATTGTTTCTCAACCTTAAGAGCTTGCAGATGTGTGACATCAACTCCCAGAATTCTCCAACCCCCCCCCCCCCCACCAATGCTGGCTGGGGAATTCTGGGAAATGAAGTCCACGCATCTTCAGGCTGCCGAACACCGTTTTTGGAAAACGAGTCTGTGGTTTCGTTTGCAGCTCCTGATGTTTTTTGTCTAATTTCAGAGCAACCAACGTGTTGACCTATATAAGTGGAAGGACGGTAATGGGGAAATTGGCACTTCCTTGCAAGGACACACACGTGTCATCAGGTATGGCTGCTCCAGGGAGCCCGGTGCATTTTGAGCCAGTGGTGTGGTACCTGTGAGGCCTCCTTTCTCTCAGCCCTCCTGCTGCTGCTTCTTGTTTGCAGCACATCCCTAGCAGAGACATGAACCTATCAGAAGACTTTATCTTAATAATCTCTGAGCTACAACTCTTGTGTTGTCTTCAGTGGAGGCCAGGCTTGTATTTCTCAGCCTTGGCCCCTGGAAGATCTGAGGACTTCAGCTGCCTAGCAACTCCAGCTGCACATCTCCAAGAACTGCCAAAATGTCACGATCCACATTTTTTGCTTTCCACTGCTCAAGGGCATTGGAGTTGCAGAAGTTGGATTTCGTAGGGCAAGCTGTTTTGCAGGGTTTTTTTTTTTTTTATTGGGGAAAAATCTCCTGATAATCTCTGAAAAACTTTGCTGGGTTTTCCCAGAAATCAGCCTTGGCGAAACCATGGCACCAAAATGACTCAGTGTAGGAAGCCTAGAATGCCTAATTCATAATTGTTACAGTCTCCCATGAAGATTCTGTGGACGAGGCCCTGTGCAAAAAGAGCAACCTAGGAAGCCAAACGGGGCAGGTTTCCAGGTTTGCTTGCAAAATATACCGGTATGGTTTTTCCTGGCAATGGAGAAGCTGGTGGGAAGTCACTGTACAAAGCCTTGTAATTATACTCTGCCACCATTGAGAGCTCTCTTGTTCATCCGTTTCAGAGGTGAACATAGACTAATAGAGTTGGAAGGGACCTTCTGTCCCTCTACCTTCTGTAAAATTCACTTTACCTTCTATAAAGTGGTTTGCCCCTTTTATGAACTGTGGACTTCCCTGAGCCAGCCATACTCAGGAATTGCCACGGTTGTGCTGGCTCAGGGATTCTGGGAGTTGAAGTCCACAGGTAATGAAGGTGGCCATGCTTACTCACCCCTGATCTTCTGGTTTTCTCCTCTCTTTTTCTCTCTGCCTTTTCTAGTGATTTGGACTGGGCGGTGTTTGAGTCAGATCTACTGGTTACCAGTTCGGTTGACACGTACATCTACATCTGGGACATCAAGTAAGAGTTTTGGTGGCCTGTAAGAAGACAGACGCGGTCATTCAGTGGGTTTTGGGAGAGTGGAGGTTCCTGTAGGGCGGTGGCCTCCAATCTTTTGGGCACCAGGGACCGGTTCCATGGAGAGAAGCTTTTCCACGGACCGGAGGAGCCTGCATCCTGTGTTTGGGACTTGGCTTCTTTGCGTGGACTGCTTTCTGGCATGCCATGGACCTGTGTCAGTCCATGGACCGGGCATTGGGGACCCCTGCTGTAGGGCACCCGTGGTGGCAGCTGCTGCTTTTAAGTGGGTCCTTCAAAATATTTGGGGTATTATTAATGTTGTCTTCTCCTATTATAGCTTAGCGCCGTGATGGCGAACCTAGGGCACGCATGCCACAGGTGGCACGCAGAGCCATTTGTGCTTACCTCACTGGGCATGCGCACATCTCACAACGGATTTTCAACCAGTTTGAGGCCTTTTTCGGCCTCCCAAAGGCTTGAGGAAGGCTTCTGCAGGCTTTGCAGGCCGAAAACTAGCCC